GCACAAGGGCAGGCGCTGACCTCCAACAAAAAGAAGTAATTTTATCAGAATACAATAGTTTTTTCTTTTCGAAATCCCAATAGAAAGGGTAAAGGTTGTATTCGAATACGTGTAGGACCCGCACCGTTTCAATTTCGAAAAAGGACTACCCGCACCGTTTCAATTTCGAAAAAGGACTGCACCATCCTCGGCCTCCTACTCGCAGCTACCGGTCCTACGAGGTCCTGGACCAAAACCCGTGCGGTACTACCCGTCCTGCAGTTTCAAATAAGATGCCACCACCCCCTAAACTGCCATGCCTTGTTTTTTCAGCCTTCCAACGACCGTATAATGAACGACGACGAAAAATGTTCTCAGGGGGAGGAGAAAACGCATCCCTGACGGGCTGGGAATGCCTTGTTTTTTCAGCCTTCCAGAGTCCGTATAATGAAACCAAGACGAAAAATGTTCTCAGGGGGGGAAAACGCATCCCTGACGGGCTGCGAACAGGACATCTTCTGGGTAAACGTTTCTGCACTCGCGCGCCAGCCGACGTGGAAATGGGTGTCGCCAGCGTGGCGAGCTTTGGCTGCGCGGAACTCTGGACACTTGACAAATCGCCAACATTCGTTGTTTATTATTTTTTGTTTGGTTACCAAATGAGCGTTACTTCGCGCACACGGCGCTGGAATAACACGGCGCCACTTTAAATCGGCACCGTCGTTTCGGCCTTCTTCGGGGAATCCGAGCTCCCAAAACCAATGCGTGCACAAATGGTGAGTATAGCGTTCCTTTGTTCTGTTGATTATTTGCGGATTTTCCCCGTAGTGTTTACCTCTCGAGCTCTGGGCGTGTAGCGATCACCATTTGTCCATCTCATTACGCGGAAAGATCTCGATTCGATTCGCGATCGTCAGACCCAAGACCATCGCCAAGCTATTGGCCAGCCGTTAGGTGATAGCCGCGATCGTCCGGAGAGGGGTGACCGGGCTAGCCGCGTCCTTCGTCATCACCTACCGGTAGGTAGGGAGTGGGAGTGATAATCCTCGGTGCCGACGACCGTCGCCCAGGAGCGCGGTAATCGTCCTCGTACAGGAAAGAGCTGATCAGCGCGCTGATCCCTGTTGGTCAGCAGCGGGCGAATCGCCTTCGTCTAGCGGCGAGCTAATCGTCGCCTCGTAGAGGCACGCATGTTGTTGTCGCACAGAAGAGCACTGCTTCCTTTGCTTGGAAGAGCACAGCGCACTGCGTGTCCGGCCGCGCGCTGATCCCTGTCGCCCAGTAGCTTGCAAATTGTTGTTTTCTCCTGCGGACGCATTTCGTTGTTGTACGGGAGACCGGTAGTTCGTCGTCTACGACCGTACGGAATGCAATTGCTCGACAGCGCACTGATTGGCCTCCCCCAGGGGCTTGCGGATTGACGTCGTGGCCTGGGAAAGGAGGGGCTTGCTTGTTTCCCACTTGGCGGCTCGAGGTAATCGTACATTACCGTCGCTACGCGGACTGCATACTCTCTCCTCTTCTTTGCACAGGCAAGGAGACTTCGTGCGCGCCGGGGGACTTTTGGCGCCGGGAGATTCTGCGCGCGGAGCGCCGTGGGAGTGTGCGCAGTAAGTATCGCGGAGTATTACTGTAGATTGTCACTGAATGACGTACAACAAGAGGAGTGCTAGCGTGCGGTGGATCATTATTTTTCGCTTGTGGACGTGGAATTTTGCGGAGGTGGGTGCGTATTGATTCTATCTTTGGAGCGACGAAGCTGAAATCCATCCCTCGTCTTAAGTCGAATGGACAGGTTGGCGGTTCTCTCTCGGCACTTTGTGCCAGAGATTGCAAGCTGTGAAAGGAAGGCCGACTCATCGGCAAGCAGAAGCGGAGCAGAGGAGGACATCTCGTCATTCTCTTCCACCGATGAAGCAGGTATGAGGGCAGCCATGGGTATGAGTAGAATTTTTTTTGTTTGTTCTTCGAGTGGCTTTTTGTTTTTCGAGACTGATGATTCTCTATTGAGGGTGGATGCTGATCAATCTCTTAGTGATCTCGTCCAGATCGCCCTTTGACCGGGTCTCTCTCCTTCGCATGCTGATTGAGTACATAATGTCGAACTTGTGTATAATGTTTGTGAAAATGATGTTACCTCTCTCTCTCTCTCTCTCTCTCTCTCTCTCTCTCTCTCGGTTTCTCTGTCCCTTTCTCTCTCGTTTTCTCTCTCACACGGCCAAATGACTGACTTGCTGACTCTTTCGCTCTGTGTTCGCAACTTCGTTATTTTTTGGCATCAATTATTCTCACCTGGTGTGCGAGGAGGGAGATGGAGACGGACGAGAAAGAAGGGTTCATTGAAGACGTTATAGCCTCGGGTAGAACTTTTTTTGGTATGTTTTTCGGGTTGTGCCCATATTGCTAGTGTTGGGAGCTCCTGTTCGTCCATTGTCAGCAGTTTGCTGTGAGGCTCGTTAGCCCAGTCCATTAATTGCTAATCTCAACTAAATCAACACGGGCGCGCTTGCTTCTAATTATCTGCTCACTCTTCGTTTTTTTCCCTGCTCGTCTCTCCACGTGGATCCACGTGGTCAAGTCATCTCGTGGCTATTTGTGTGATTCTTAAAAAACAAATTGCGCGGCAATACTCGCTTTGCGCACTCTTTCTGCTCTTGCGCAGCTGCAACGGGGACACACACACACACACACACACACACACACACACACACACANAGAGAGAGAGAGAGAGAGAGAGAGAGAGAGAGAGAGAGAGAGAGAGAGAGAGAGAGAGAGAGAGAGTCACATGCAATGCCCGAAAGAGCTGCTACTATCGCTTGCGATGCGCTTAAGGTTCTTTTGCGCCGCGTGTCATTGCAGCGGATTGCTAATACTGCGAGATCGGTATGATGACGGGGCGCTTGACGAGAAAGGAAGGTGATGCCAAGCGGACCCAGCTTTCCTCGTTGTAGACACCCTTGACCTTCTCTGATGGATGCCCACTTTTTCAGTAGTATTCCTTTGGTCCGACCCTGCACGGAATAGAACCGGCGATCTCTGGCCGGATGCCGTTCCCTTTTTTTTTTTTTTTGTTGAAAGTGGAGCCATACGGGTCGCGACATGCACTCCACCCCTGCACGGCCAGTGTATTCACTCGCTCACCCTCCCAACACCCCTCAGGACCCTCCCGCAGGCTGGTTCACAAGGCCCTCACCACGCAGCCACCCTGATACCTGACAGCTGTTATGATCCTGGCCAATTTCGAGATACATATTCATCAGGTAGTACAATGCTGGCCGATTGCAGAAAGAAATGAATGAACTTGAGAGGAGAGAGAAGGTTAAGAAGAAGAAGAAGTAAGAAACACCAGCATAGACAAATGATAAAGCTCTTCTTCTTCGCTCAACCCTCTCTTCCTCCTTATCTCCTCCTCTCTTATTCACACAAGAAATAATAATACAATGTTGGATAGCTGAACCAGAATCAAACTCCGAATCCCTCTTTTACTGCAGGTATCACTTGAGGTCCACCATAGCCATGGCCGTCTCTCCCACTCTTCACTCTCATAGGCCGAGGCTATGGCGGACTACTTGGCCTTGCCCAGATGTCCAAAGGACAACCCAAAGCAGCTATGGCTGCCCTAGCTCAGGCCACCATGCCTGACTCTGCCTTGAAGCTTCTTGGTGTAGCTCAACCCCAGCTGGGGCCTTCCTGCAATGTCACGGCCATAGGTAAGTACCGACCCTGAGGGCCCAACGTAAGTACCGGCCCTGAGGGCCCAACGGACGAACAAGTGCCCTTGTGGGCCACACACACACTCAAGCCAACCAGCACTCAAACAGACATGCAGTCCAGCAAGTTTGCATACACACAGACTTAGAGAACTTTAGCAAGCGGGGAACTTAGCAAGGCATTCAGTCTATGAGCAAAACTCATAAATCAGCTGTGTGTTTCAGTACCTGTTTGGTCGGGTCAGTACACTACTCCCCCCTCGAGAGCGAGGTCCTTTCGAGCGAGTAACTCATTTTGAGTCCCCGACAAACGCATCGTAGGTAAACAAGGCAACGAGATTTCGAGAATACTCGGTTTTGCAGTGAGCTTGGCAGATATTTTAGGTGCATCATTAGAGGCGTTTTGTCACTCGTAGGCTTTAACAACGCGCGGTGCACTGCGCAACAGTTCCTGCTTGGAAATCCAGGATAGATCATCCAACGGGTGGTACATGAAATGAACCCGGTACTGTCTGTTGCGTCCGTTGCCTACGTGTTGTTTAATTATGTCTATCTCATGTCCGCCATTGATTGCACGAGGAATCATGTCTTCACAGTAATCAAATATTTTAGCATCACGGTGGAGATACAGTTTTGATGCATGAAAAACGGGATACGTGCGCAGATGAGGTGGCACAACAAACACGTAGGAAGGGCCAAATTTATCTTTGCCAATCACATCTAGAACTTCCCATGGACCATAATAGAGTGGGAGAAGTTTACGAGATACTCCCTCTTCTTCTGAAAACTCAGACATATTGACGCAGACATAACTTCCCACCTCAATGTCTGAAGGTCGACGCTTCTTGTTTGCATGATGGATCATGGCATGCTGTCGCTTGGTCATTGTTGCGATGACAACTTTGAGCAAGCGATCGTACGTGGCCCTGAAGCCAGGCTTGCTGGGTGTTAAACAAGTTGGCTGCTCAGGGAATAGGTAGGAGAGCAGATTACGAATCTGCCAATCGTAATGCAGCCTGCTTGGTGTCATGCCGGTGGCAGAATGGATGGAGTTGTTGTACAACCCCCTGACGGAATACAACTCTTCATCCCATGTTTCCTAATCCGGAATGATTAAAGCGCGGAGAAGTTGGAACACCGTCTGGTTGATTTCCTCAGCCAAACCGTTGGCTTCGGGGTGTCGGCCAGATGTCATGCATAGCCTGAGGCCAGGGAGTTGGGCCGTGAAGTCTTTCCATTCTGTACTAATGAAGCGCGGGTCCCGATCACTCACGAGAGTTTTCGGGGTTCCGGACTGCAGAATGTACTTCTGCTTGAACTCACGGATCACCAATTCAGTTGGAGCATGAGATGGCAAAGGAAGAAATTTTGAGAAGCGGTCAACAATCACCATGACTTGTGAATAGCCGTTTTTACTTGCCTTACCCATGTTGGTGAAGCGGATAGAGACAGACTCCCGAGGACCATCGGGAATGGGAAGGGGTGTTAGTAGCCCCATGGATTTTTGTCTATATGGTTTGATTCGTTGACAGACTTGACATTCAACCACAAACTTTTCAGCAGATCCCTTCATGCCAGGCCAAGCAAACTGTCTCAATAGGTTCTCGTATGTTTTTGCCGTGCCGAAGTGTCCACTCCGGCCATGAGCCAAATCCATAAACTGTGTGAGGAGAGGCTCATGGTTGGGCACGCACAAACGGTGATGATTCCCATAGCGACGAATAATCAGTCCTCCATACTCGTGAAAATCAGGCTGATTGTTGGGGTCAACCCGCAACTGCTCAAGGATGGGACTAAGGTTCGGATCCTTGGCAGTGTGCTCTACGATCTCCTCCTTCAATTTCTTTCGGAGGTTGTAGGAATTCACAAGGCAAGTCATGTACTCTGGGTGGCGAGACAATCCGTCAGTGACTCGGTTATAACAACCCTTTTTGTGCCTTAACTCAAAGTCGAAAATGTCAATTTCATGGAACCAGCAAAGTAAAGTAGGGGACAGGGTAGTTTGCTCATTGATCCACTTTAGAGTCTCATGATCTGAAAACACTTTGAAGTGGCGTCCCAAAAGATAGTATTTCCAATGGTCCAAGACCATGCGCAAAGCATAGAGTTCGCGCATGTAGGTGGAAGTGGCTACCTTTACGCCGGGCATGCGTTTGCTGTAGAATTCGAACGGCCGCAAGCCATCGCCGTCATCTTAATGCAACACTGCACCAATTCCATACTGGCTTGCATCCGTAGCAACAACGAATGCCAGTTTGGAATTTGCAATGCGGAGTACAGGGTAACTCACCAAAGCTTCTTTCAAAGCTTGAAAGGCGTCCTTGCATGCAATGTCCCAAGAGTAAGGAACGTTCTTACTTGTTAACTGGGACAACGGGCGAGCAACAATAGAGAAGCGGGGCACAACTTCCGGTAGTACGACGTGAGACTAAGGAAAGATCGCAGTTCACAGATGTTCGCGGGTTGAGGCCAATTGCGTATGACTTCAACCTTGGTTGCCTCAGGCTCTAGGCCTGCAAGAGACAACCGATGCCCACGATAGATGACACTATCCCTCCCAAACTCATATTCTCTAAGTTCAGATGAAGTTGCGTCTTCTTGAGGATGGTGAACACGTCCTCAAGGTGTGTGTTCCAACATGGATTTGTTGAAGATCAGTATATCATCAAGGTATACCACCACGAACCGACCAATCTGTTCGTGCAGGACCTTGTCCATGAGGCTTTGAAAGGTGGCCAGTGCGTTCGTGAGACCGAAGGGCATTACGGTAAACTCGTAAAGCCCATAACGTGTTTTGAACGCAGTTTTGTGCTGGTCCACAGGATCGACTTCAATCTGGTGTTAGCCAGACTTGAGATCGATCTTGGAGAAGACCTTGCACCCACCTGCAACATCAAGCAAGTCATCTATGCGAGGCAATGGATAGGCGTTCTTTCCTTGTGATGCGATTTAGACCGCGATAGTCAATACACATACTGAGCTTTCCTCCTTTCTTCGGGACAAACAAAAGAGGGGCACCAAATTCAGACTCACTAGGCTTGATCCATCCCTTGTCAATCATTTCATCGATCTGTTGCCGGAGTTTCTCCAACTCGCCGGATCCCATTCGGTATATGCAACCCTTTGGAGGAACCACACGTTCGACCAACTCGATGGTGTGACGGACCGATCCTATGGGAACTCCACGTGGTTTGGCCAGAACTTCTGGGA